AGCCATTCATGACCTTCCTCGGTCTCGATCAAAAGCCTTTTCCACATCCACAAAACACATGTACAATCTTCGTTTCTTCTTTCTATAAATCTCCTGCAACATTCTCGCCATGAACAACGCATCCACCGTTCCCCTACCAGGCATAAACCCACACTGCATTTCATTAACTGTCACCATACTTCTCAACCTCCTCTCAAGCACCCTCTCCACTACCTTCATTCCGTGCTCTAGTAATTTCACACCCCTGTATGACCCACAATCTCTCACATCTCCTTTGCCCTTATACAACGGCACCAACACACTGTGTCGCCAATCCTCAGGTATACCTTCATCATCAAACATACTGTTAGCAATTCTCATCATAACTTCAATTCCTATCACCCCATTCGCTTTAATATGTTCAGCCGCCACTTCCGAAACCCCTGTCGCCTTACCTAGTTTCATTTCTCTAACTGCTTTCTCTACTTCCTCCTTCGTCACCTTCTCTATAGGTCCGTGTGTGACCGCGGATTCCACATCTCCATCCCACTCATTCTCTTCATTCATCAACCTTTCCATATGAGCTTTCCACACCTGAGCTTTTTCCTCCTCATCTATGCACAACTTGCCAGATCCATCCCAAACACATCCATTCCCTATAACATCTTTCCTATCCCTCATTGACTGCTTTGCTACTTTGAACATTTTCCTTGAACTCACATCAAATTCCATTTCCTTCATTAACCTATCTGATGCTTTCGTCATTGCAGTTGCCACTGCCTGTTTTGCAACCTTCTACCTTCTTAGCCTTCCTATACTCACACTCCGCTTCCTCCGTCATGTCCCTTCTCCATACCCTAAACCTCTCCTTCTTGACTTCCAAAACCCTTCTTATATCTTCATCCCACCACCACGTCTCACCATGCCTACACTTTCCTTTCGTCCATCCACATACTTTATCTGCCGTAGCCAACACACAGTCCCTGTATCTCTCCCAAACATCTCCATCCTTACCACTCTCCCAATTTTCAGCCACCTTCACTTCAAATGCCTTCCTCACCTCTGCATCCTGCAACTTCCATGTCTTTCTCTTTGCCACAAACTTATCCTTCTTCCTCCTCCCCATTTCTTTTGATGTCACATCCATCACAACCATACTATGCTGCAACATACCAGGTATCGCCTTCACATTCTTCACATACTTCCTATGTTTGGCCCTTACCAATATATAGTCGATCATCGATCTATGTTCCCCTGACCTATAAGTAATCAATCGCGCTGGTTCCCTTGTGAACCAAGTGTTCCCCACCACCATGCTGTGTGCATCCGCTAACTCCAACACTCTACGCCCTTCCTCATTCCGTATACCATATCCCCATCCCCCATGTACACCTTCATATCCGTCTGCATCCGCCCCCACATGACCATTCAAATCACCCAACAACACCACAAACTCATTCAACCCCGCTTGCCCAATTTTGTCAGAAACATCATCATAAAACCTATCCTTCTCCTCTTCCTTCCTACTTTGTTGCGGAGCATATCCTGATATCACCCTCACTATTACTTTTCCAAACACCATCACCACCACAATTACCCCATTGCTTCTCCGCCTCACTTCCAACACCTGCTCCAACAACTCTTCTCTTACCATCACACCAACTCCTCCCGTACCATCATCCCCCTTCCACCACAACTTATATCTTCCACCTTTAGCCCCCACAAACCTTGTACCCTCACCCTTCCATCTGACCTCCTGTAATGCAGCCACGTCAACCATTCTCCTCTGCAGCTCCTCCACCACTTCCAAACTTCTTCCTGTCAACGTGCCTACATTCCAGGTACCAAACCTCCAACCCCTTGGTCTACAAGTAGTCCTTCCATCTATAGTGCCTTGCACCGCCACACTATAGAGTGGGGTGCCAGTAGCCAGACCATCCACAGGGCCTTGCACCACAACCCCATCGACTGGGTCTCCGGAGATTCTTCGCACCCTCTTCTGCCGGATACTGAGGGCCATTGTTTTCTCCGTCATCATCATAAGCATTTATTATTTGGCTAGTTTTTACACAGGACGCCCTTCCTCACGCAACCACAGTTATAAGCGGTGGGCCTAGCCTTTGATGATCCAACATCACTCACAAGGCAGTGAGGGTCAGTTTAATGTCATAACCAGGACATAAAATACAAACGACAATAACAACAATATAAAAAACATCATAATTTATTTATAAAAATAGTATGTCCTCATCATATAAAACAAATGAAAAAATAATGAAAAAGATAATAAATAACAATGTTAAAGTCATAGATACAAACAGCTCATTAAAATTAGGAATTTACTACACGAATAGGAAAACATCATCTCTAATAATAAAAAACAATTCCAACACTAAACCTTCCTCGGATATGAAAAGTAGTCATTTGATTTATTCATATACATGTAATATTGGTGAGTGCGTGCATCAAAATTCTGAATACATCAGAATGACTACAACAACATTAACGAGAAGACTCACTATGCATAAGCAAAATGGAGAAAAAAAAAGCAAAAAAGACCACCTAATGTAACAACACTATTATAACAAGAGAAATTTTAAACAATAACACCAAAGCAATTTATTACAACAGAGAATATTTCAAATTGAAGATAGCAGATAAACGTAAACCAGCAATAAATATTCAACTAAATAATACCAATATTTTTCCAACAAAGAAACACTTGATTAACTTTAATTCTAATTAAGTAACAAAGACAAAAAGACGGAACAATAATATATAACTACACTGATGATGGCAGTTGATGCCGAAAAGAGCTTTTCTGTAGTAATAACGTTATTAATAATGTTTTGCCAAAAATGTAAAATATTAAAAGTTTTTTATTTAACCTTAATAAACTTACTTCATCAAGATGATAAGTCTCGTATAATGCAAGTCTCGTTAAAAAAATTGAGAAACTCAACTACAAGTTGAATAATTCCGATAACGCAGTGATCTTTATAAATAATTGTATATATATATATATATATATATATATATATATATATATATCATTTGGACTCAACACACTCAATCACAATTAGCCGTGAAATCCTCGACAGCAACACCAAAGTAATATACCAGAACAGCAACTACACGCATCATAAAATTGCAGAAGCAGTCCTAATCGACATCAATAAACCAAAAATAAATATACAACAAAAAATGACAACCTCACTTCCAACCCGGCGCTTAACCAACAACGAAAACAAAGAAGTAATAAAAACTAGCAACGTAAATAGTGACAAAGAAGAATATGATGCTATCGATGAAGAAAAGGAGACCAAAGAAGATGACCAGCCAATTAAGAAACCTGACACCTAATTCGCATCAAAGTTCAATTTTACAACATCAAAGTTAATTTTTACAACGTCAAAGTTAATTTTGACAAAGTCAATATTTCCCTATATATACAGCAAGGAGCACTGACGATGATTCATTCGGAATCGAAATATGGCCTTATTTGCAGCATGAATTCGAAAAATAAGTTTATTTTGAATTTTAATAAACTAAACGTTCACCAAAAAACTTTAGTGAGAAAAATCGAAAAAACGAACTACAAACATATTAACGCCAAACATTCGGTAGAATTTATAGAATATTGTAAAAATATATATATATATATATCTATATATGTATATATATATATATATATATATATATAGATATATATATATATATATATATCTATATATGTATATATATATATATATATATATATATATATATATATTGGTAAGAGACTGTTGTTAACGCAACATTTCAAAAATTCAACACTACTTTCAACATTGTTCAACTTTTTTATATTTCTTTTTAATTTATTAATGTAAGAAAAATTAGACATTTTATTGTTTTAAAAATTTGCAAATAGCTAGCTATCTGCAAATTTATTTAATAAAATTGAAATATATATATATATATATATATATATATATATATATATATTTCAAAAATTCAACACTACTTTCAACA